TCAGCGATTCGCGCGGAACGAGCATCTCCTGGAACGTAAAAGGAAACTGAAAACCGTTCCGCTTCCTCCGGCGGTCTCCACGGGAAACAGGGGAGGCCGGAGGACCGGCGCGAGTTTATCGGTCGTCGAACTGGGCCAGTGTCAGCGCGATTCAAAATGCAATTTGCATCGGCGCCGCCCGGCCACGGAAATCGCGAACGCGCTCTGATTAGAGCCAGGTTTTCCGGCGCGACCCGAGAGCAAGGACGAAACGCCGGGAATCGGACGGGGACGAGGGTGGCGACGACCGAGTCGGAAAAAGGGACACGAGAAAAAGGGGAGGACGAAGAAAGGGAAAAGATTTGCCTCGGCTAATTGCATGAGATATGCGATTGTTTCATGCATATTCAGCGGGCTCTCGAGGTGGGAATAGCTGATCGCTATTCTTTCCGACCGCGCCCCCCGACCGCCCGCCCCATCCACTTTCCGCGTTTCTTCCCGCTCCTCGCGAGACGTCGTCGTCGCGTCTCCGAGCCGCGAAGCACCTCCTCAATATTAATAAAAGGTCCTCCATCTTGCGAGCTACCTGTCTCCACCCCACGCTGATTGCCGGTATTTACAAAATACATTTCTCTCGTCCGCCTCGCGGAGAACAACCGCCCCGAAGAATCAACGTAAACATTTACCCGGGGACGTCGACTCGACGACGAAGCGCTCCGAGGCACCGCGCGGGGTTCGAGTTTCGTCGCGAGTTTCTACGTCGAGCACCTGAGAGAATTCTTTCGTGCGTCCCCGCCGCGGACGAATAATGCACACCTCGCGGCGAAATATTATACGATACTCGAGCGAGCGGGTCGAACGGAGATAACGAACCGTTCGCGTTTATTCGCGATGCGCGTTTCCGATCTCGTCCGGGCGATTTTTACCCGATGAAACGCGTTCGCCGGGGCGCGGCGATTCTAACGCGATCGCTAATCGACCGTTGCAACGCGTGACCGTCCGCTGTAAACGCAATATTACGCGGCGCAACGAAGACACCGGACCGAATCGTCGATTCGGAGTGCCGTGACGCGACGCGACCGACGCGTTTGAAATCTTTTCCTCGGGAGGCAAACGCGTGCGCGCGGGAATCGCGACTAATTGATAAACAGCGGCGCTGTTTGCGAGAGCGCGCGCCGGCGAGCGGGACCAAATTCAGCCGCTTTGTCGGGAATCAGAGTAACGGTTCGACGAATAATTAAATACTGTTTTTTGATACGCGCGTCGCGCCGCCCCGACTCGTCGATCAGGAATCCCTGTCCGCTGATTTTCCGGGCAGCCCGTCGGCGTTAGTATTCGATGCGCGACGAAATTTTTATCAATACCCGCGCGTTTCCCGATGCATGGGAAAACACGCTGATCCATATTCAGGATATATCTTCGCGGGTCGTCCGGCACGCATGGCCGAAAATTCCGTGAGAAACTCGCGCAGCTTCGTGAATCCATTAACCCGTCATTTGCATTCAACGGTGCTTCACAATTTCTGATTTTTATCCTCGCCGACCGGAAGACTGATACACCCGAATGCACCGCGGAATTCCAATTAGATCGAGTTTACGGAGAGAATTAGCTGGTTGGTTGGATGTTAGCGCGCTTCCGACGAACAACGGAAAGAAACGTGATAATTTGACAGGGAAGAGGCCCGTGTTTCTCAGGGCGATTATCGGATTCCGGAGGAACCTTCTCGCAACGCCGCGGTCAATGCCATCGGATTTCCCGCGCGCGGACGTTCCTTCGAAATATCGGCAGGATGATTGATCACGAGGAAACTGGGTTGTGGACTTATATATTTTTTTTTCGCCTCTGTTTTCACCCTCGCCCTTTGTGCTCGTTTCCGATCGACAGCGCCCGTGTTTGTACCTACCGTTCCTATATTCCCCTGGATTTCCGCTTTCGCTTCACCGTCGTTTCCCGCCTAAATCCGCAAAACTTCGACGTCGTATTACGTTCGCGGTAATGCCTTTTGACGATTAGACCGACGCGGAAGGTCTTGAAAATTACTTTTCGAAAGATCGAACGCGACGCGCGGCGCCGGCGAAACAAAAAATTGGGGAAATTCGATGAATTTCCGCGTAACCGACACTCTCCCGGGGATTTTTCTAACTAATTCCGCTCGCGTCCGACGCACACACACGCGCGCGCGCGCGCTCTTCAGTTTCCATAGCTGGAATTCTATCAGCACCGGATGAACGGATCCTCTCACTCCCACCTCGCCCCCTCGAAACACCGATGATTGATAGCGAAGAAACTAGGTTAGAGCTGTGTACGGCTTTTTTTTCTACATTCTTTCAATTCTGGCCGGTTTGACGCGCTCGCGTAGGCAGTGGCGTGCGCGTGACCGACGGAAATCGTAACACCGGCTTCACGCCGGCAACTATTCTATGCGGCGAGGAGAAACACACCGGTGGAACTTCTACTCGAAAACATGTAAAACGGAGAACCACCTCGTAAAACGGGAACAACGACGATTATCACGCGATGGAAGAATGCCCCTCAAACCTCTTCAACGAATGCTTCTTTAAGGACAATGAATCGCAATTTCACCGATTCGATGAATTCTGCACTTTGCGCGGTTCGGACAGGCGAGAACGAAATCATATATTAACGAAAGCTCCAAACCATACACGTGGAGATTTTACTCTAATCCTAAAAATCTAACCTCCGGATAATAATACACTTCCCGAGAATCCCCATTTTCCTATAATTTCCTGATCCTTTTCCCAGTACGGCAAACACTGCTCAAAAAGGAACCAGTGAATGATTGAGACTATTGCGATTAAAATCAGTTCAAACACGATATGAACTACTTCCACCTACTTAATATAATTGACAAAATTAAAACTTCTCCTTAAAATCGATCCTACTTCGATTCATCTCGTGTTTGTTTCGATCACAACAATCTACCAGCATAAATCGAGAAAGTAAGATCGAAACGAATGAAACTAATATTTCCTGTATTACATATTTAACCCCTTGCCGTACAATGACGAGTGAGACTCATGATGAAGGTTTCTAGAGTAAACAACAATCGATGTTATTCATTACCCACGGATCAAAGCAACTATTTTGCTATCATTGTATTATCAAATAAAATTTCCACTTGAATGGACAATTTTGCATTTCTTCCAAATTGTTAGTAAAATGGTACACGAGCTTAGTGGCGGAAGTAAATAGTACGGCAAGGGGTTAAACGGTAATGACGAGTCATTTATCCTCTGTATCCGATTATTTATCCTCGCGCGATACTCGTAACGACGCGTTACGCGATTACACAGCTGAAATCGAGGAACAGTTTAATAAAATAGGAACTGATCGCAGCGCGCAACGTTTTTCCCTAGCACTCGAACGGAGTAAACGGTGTCGAGGGGTCTCGAAAAAGGAACAAGTGTTTCTAGGCCTGCGATAAAATAGCATCGCGAGCACGAAGGCGGAGAACTCGGGAATTCCCGATATCGGTCGAAGTCGCGTCTCGAGAGCGCGGGATCGTAGATCTCGAGGAACCTCGGTGATTTCGGAGCCACGGAAATACGCGAGTCCCTCAGCTTTCTTCGAGGGTACCGGCGAGCAGCAATGTATTATTGTGTTTCTTAAAAGCACGCGCGGAAGCCATCAAACGTATTCGACCCAATCACATTAACCCATTTGCTCCTCGAAGAATAAACCGTACAAGTTTCCCGAAGATATCGCTAAAGAATCATTTAATTCCTGTTCCGTGTTTATAAGAGTACAACGGGAACGTACTCGCGTTAACACGTTGAATGCCGCACGATTTCACGGTGCAAAATACTTGAAATAGAAAAAGTAGAATATTAAGTAATTTGATTGAATCGCATTGTTATTATTGCAGGTTCATCTGACTGAATGTCACCGCATTGGTTAGCATTATTTATAATAAAGAAATCTTTTCAAATAATCATGGTTTAATTCGGTGAACTATAGTAATTCGATTTGGTTGGTCACCAGTGACCCCCATAGCATTCAACGTGTTAACCACTTGCGATAGGCAATTGTCACAGAAACGTCAATTTTCCGAATTGATTTGAAGAATATAATATGCAAGATTATTAACCCTTTGAACTCCGTAGGCTCCAATATTGCACCAGTTCTAGTATTAAATATTTTAATGAATTTTCAGAAAACTACCTCAAGATTATTAGATCTTCCAAATATACAAAGTTTGTACTGAGAAGGAAACTAAAGGTCTAAGAAATGTTATAACACTATAAATTTTCAGTAGGACTACTATCAAAATTGCTAGGAGTTGCTGACATATCACAAAACTGTGTGGAGTGCTAAGGGTTAATAAACAAATTTAGTATTTATACATGTGTAACTTCATCAGCAGTTGATGCGTTTTTATTCTCTTTTAGAACACGTCGAACGTGTGACGCCTCACAGCGAGTAACAGTTAACTGTTCTAGCGACCGTGAATTTCTTTACACCGCGAGTGGTTAAAGAAAGTATTACCAGTAAGACGGGGCGAAATGGTTAAAGCCTCGATACGCGGGAAAACGAATGGACCAACGATACCGGCAAAGACGCCGGTCACCGCGGAAAATGCAACGCTGACTCAACAAGTCTCGCGCTGCTACCCTGTCGTTCGCGATCGCGGACATCCTCGAGGATCTCGCTAGATCCGAAGATCATCCCAGATTGATTCTTGAAAGGTACATCCATAACCGACCTCCAGGTATCAGTATACAACATTGCGCACAATTAATACAAAAACATTTGCAACGATCGGTAGAACGAGTCGTACAATCAACTTTCCCGCCATGAAAAGGAACACCAGGCACTCCGGAAAACATTGAATTGAACTCGCTGCAAAGGATCGATAAATTTATCGCGGGAGCCGAAGCGTCGATGCCCGGTTTGCGGGGTAAATTTGTAAAGACGGGCTGTCGCGATCAATTTTACAGGACGTTCCCGTCCTCGTTCCCTTTCGGAACGTCTGGAGAGCGAACGGACGTTTTTAAACTCACCGCCAAGCAGGATGTTCACCAGAAGAGGTAGAAATCGGTATCGGCGCGCTCTCGTCATGTTTCCAGTGTTCTACATGAACCGCTTCTCCCTCTTCGCCGTAGAGACCTCCCCTCGGTTTCCCAGTGTGTTCTTCAACTGTCTTGCTCGCCTGTTCAGCAGATATCAACGCGCGAAACAGCACAAACCAACGATCGCCTAGTACTTCGCGCGAGCAGCCCGGCCGACGAACAAACAAACAAACAAACGAGTGCCTGCGGTGCCTTTGTTTCTCTGTCCCTCGATTCGAGTCAGCGATGGAAAAGAAATAAAAACAAACAGAAACGATACAAAGAAATGATTCGATGTACGATAGATCGACGGACTCGAAAACGTTCGAACGGGGAGACCATGCGACGGACAAAGAGGAAGAGAAGTTGCGCGGACGAAGTCTCGGCTTCGACTGGCGCGCACAGACGTATCTGACCCTCTGATAACCGGCCAGCCCCCGCTGGTTCAACCCTCTCCCCCTCTACCGCGAGTACTCCTCTCCCAGTACATCGTCATCCAGGAGGGGCACCAACCCCTGAGAGGACCCCTGCCTCCACCCCCGACTAATTTGCGATTTAACGTGAATCGTGGCCACGCGCCACCTTGCCAAAAGGACAATGAATTTATTGCTCGGAGTAATCCACGATCCAACCCCCTCCAGGAACCACGTGCTGTCTTCGCGACCGGAGGGGGCAATGTAAACATAACTGTTCGTACGATACAGATATCGTACGCATACGTTCTACACATCGCCTCGCTTCAATTCACGGGACATGTTCGAAAGGGTGAGCGCGAGTACTGTAAGTATAAATGCCCCGCGTTAACCCTTTGCGCTCGAAAGTTTTTCACTGGAAATGCTCGACGTTTCCCGGTAAGATGTAGACGACGTTTGAAACCGACCAATGAGGAAACATGTATAAGTCAAGAAACAAAGCCATTTTATTCGAATATTTCACGTATCGATGCGTTGTACGAAGCTTAATATTATATGTGACCTTACAATTTTACTATATCGAATCAAGTGGTGACTGAGAGTCAACTCTCGAGTGCAAAGGTTAACCCTTAATACTAGAACTATTATACCAATCAAAATGACGATGTTTGAAACCAACCAATGAGAAAACATATGTAAGTCAAGAAACAAAGCCATTTCATTCGAATATTTCACGTATCGATGCGTTGTACGAAGCTTAATATTATATGTGACCTTACAATTTTACTATATCGAATCAAGTGGTGACTGAGAGTCAACTCTCGAGTGCAAAGGTTAACCCTTAACACTAGAACTACCGTACCAGTCAAAATGACTGGTTTCGATTTTTTTGTTTAGCAATTATCGATATCTTCGAAGCATTGAATATTCGAAATGATTTTGAAAATAAATAGTTTCACTAGAGTACTATAATGAATGTCTGAAGAAACTGAAGATAATGTGTTGTTACAATTTTTATAGGAATTGCATATTAATAGTATTAAATGCTCGGTAGTTCTAGTGTTAACGGACCGGAAGCATTTCCAGTTTAATTACCAAAAAGTAAGTACCTGACTGTAACATAGTTAACAGGCGGAAAGAAATTCACAAAAGTCTAGTGCAATATTTAACGTGTTAATTGTAAATATTATAATAACAGCGATGAAAATAATAAAATGATTCTCGCCGCTATATACGCGCATTGGAGTCAGTAAGTAAAAGTGCTCCGTTGAGGGTTAGATGTGTTACCGAGTTTTACAATTCGATCGAGATTTTCCGCAAGAAATAGAATGTTGTAATAGTTTGATAGATCAATAACGTGTCAGTAATACTACTACTAGTTATTAGCAGATTTGTATACGCTTGCTCATTACACGAATTAATAAAATGAAACAACGATGAATATAGATCGATAACTACTGTTAATTAAATACATAAACTATTAAGTAATGTCTATTGAACATTACACAACATCTAAATTTGCTGATGTTAACTAGAACAGCCGATTATCGAATGTTCCCATTATTCACGTACACGAAACATAATTAGACGTTATTAGTACTGTTATTGACACGTTATTAAAGCCTACCTCCTCTACAATCCAATTGTAAGATCCAATAACACGATTAAGCAGGCCGAATTAATAGAACTAAAGTCTTTCGTAACAGTTACAATTATTCCCGACAGTAACATCATCAAGTAACCACAACAACAATTATGTTTCTATGTAATCATGGTGGGCCCAACCGTCCATACGTTCCCATAGGTTCATAGACTTACTAAACCCAATAAGAATATATTCTGAATGAACAGGTTTCGCTCCGAAATGAGTTTCTAAAAATTACTCCAATTAGCGCATTTCCAGTTGTAACAGCTGTTCAGTTTTAATTCATATTATAGATCAAAGCTTCCTTCCGTTTACGAAATTCAACGCGAAAGCATTCCTAAATCATTGGGAAGATCCGTTAGATTTCTCAGCGCATACGTGCTTAACACGTTAAGCGCCATGACAGTCATCGATGACTAACGTTTCCGAATTATTCGAAAACAATCGTAACACGCAAGATAACCGATGTCGAATGAGAATGTTTAATAACGTGACTAAGTCGATAATAATGTAATGCAACGATTGTAACGGCAAATAATTAACCCTTTGAACTCTGTAGGCTCCAATATTGCACCAGTTACAATATTAAATATTTTAATGAATCTTACAGAAACTACCCTAAAATTATTCGATTTTCCACACGTCCGAATTTTGTACTAAGAAGGAAAATGAAAGATCGAAGAAATGTTATGGCATTTCCCATTTTCGCTAGGAATACTATAAAAATTAGTTGCAGTTGCTGATAGATTACAAAACAACCTGGAGTGCTAAGGGTTAATAATTGTTCCTGCTTTCTTCTGTTAGAAAAAAATAACTCTAAGAAAAAACGGTCAAGATTTTCGAAACTTCGATTATCTTCGCTTATGAACTGTATTGATTTCTTAAATAGAATAATAAGTTGTATTCAGGTATGTGATGATTTTTTTGTAATATGATATTGTTTTTTTATGCGTTCACTTCTTTGTAACGTGACCATGTATCGATTAAAAATATTTTCTCAGAAAAATTGGCGTGTACCGTAGGTGGTACACGTGGCACGGAAAGTGTTAACAGATCAAACTCTAGATCTCGTGATTCCAGTAATAATAACAGTTTCCCTAGTTTCCCGTTACCTGCGAGAATTATTTTATTCAATTGACGGAGTTTTTGCATGTAAACTTCGGGACAGGTTCGAATGTCCCCTGGTATTATTTACAAACAGAAGCGGCGCGCGCTAAGAAAAGGAGGGATAGAGTTTCCGTTACAAGAATTTCCCTTTGTTCGCGGGACGGAAACGGGTGTCCGTAAGTAGTTGAAAATCAACCGAGGAGACGCTCAACGTGACTGAAAGTTGTGTGTAAACCAGACGTGAGCGCCTCCTGCGAGTTGCGCAACAGTCGCGAGATCTCGGCACCATTGCAACTTTTTGGCGCCAACTGACATTCCGACTGCAAAGGGCCGTTTAATCCAGTTCCCGCGTTAATTACGTTCAGAGATCAGTACGTAAACGATCGCCGGTATTAAAAACGACCGATTGTTCCCACGTTACAGTCATAAAAAGAGTTTCACCTCGGTTGTTCTAAACATAACCTCGGTATGGTTTCAGTGCCGCCAAGGAAAGCAACAAAACGGTCCGCTGATACTTCTTCGAAAAACCCGAAGGAACCCAAACAGGCAAAGAAAAAACAAGGTAAGTTATCCTTATCGGAGACGTCGAAATATTTTCCTAGATTAATCCCGTGGATAGTCTTTTGGCGCGGAAATATGGTGCTTGTGTGGCGGGAATATTATAGCCAGCATAAAAAAACGACAATGCACACATGCGTTTCGGTGTAACGATCGATGAAATTAAGTTTTCTTTGCCCTGGAAAGAGAAACACTATTCACGATTTAATATCACCATCTCGGCGGACCGTCGGCGACGATTCTCTGCATTTAGGGTCTCGTACGGTTAAACGCAAACGTGGATCGTCCCGTAATTAAGAAGCTGCTGTGTCGGTTGAATGATTATATGCATTTTTACGTTTCACCTTTAGTTATAAAACCTGACTTACGACGAGCTTCGACGAGCGGCGTATTATTAGCATTCGGACAAGGCGATGTGGGCCAACTTGGTTTGGGAGAGGAAGTCGTCGAGAAGATACGTCCAGCCGCTATTTCCGGATATCAGGATATCGTGGCGATAGCTGCTGGTGGCATGCATAACGTATGTCTGAGGGAAACAGGAGAGATATTAACTTTCGGATGCAACGATGAAGGAGCATTGGGAAGAGACACATCTGTGGATGGTTCTGAAACCAAACCAGATTCGGTTGATTTACCTGGCAAGGTTGTTCAAGTGACGGCTGGGGACTCGCATAGTGCTGCTTTGTTAGAAGATGGGAGAGTCTTCGCATGGGGTTCTTTTAGGGTACAACTTTTTCTCAATTGTTCAATTCATTTTCCTCGCGCGAAGGGAACTTAACGAAATTGAAATTTGTTTTCTAGGACTCCCATGGCACTATGGGTCTGACGTTGAAGGGAAACGAACGTTTTCCGATAGAAATACTGCCAAATGTAAAAATACTTAAAATAGCGTCTGGTGCTGATCATTTAGTTTTACTTAGCGAGAATGGACAAATATACACATGTGGATGCGCAGAACAAGGACAATTAGGTAGAGTACCTGCAAGAGCAGCTAGCAGAAATACACGTCACGGTATGGGTCCATTGTTGTTTCCAAGTCCAGTCCAATTTAAAATTACAAAGAAACTAGAATTTAGCGATGTATGGGCTGGTACCTACTGTACATTCGCTAAAGAACATCATACAGGAGATATATATGTATTTGGTTTGAATAACTATCATCAGATTGGTAAGTTTAATGGAAACATTAATAGAATACTAAATATGAGGTGGTATTACGTGACATGAAATGGTTTCAGGCTTAAAAGAAACTGTGACTCATTTCCATCCTCAAATTGCAAAAACCTTTAGTGGAAAAACTTGGAGACACATTAGTAGCGGACAGCATCATTCTATTGCTTTGGATGATTCTGGCCAAGTATTTGTCATGGGCCGTAAAGAGTACGGTCGTCTCGGATTGGGACCTAATTGTTTAGATGCAAAAGAATTAACTTTGGTTCCCGCGTTAAGTTCCTTTAAGTGTATCGATGTTGCAGCGGGAAGTGCCCAATCTTTCGCTGTTACTGAATCAGGTACTTTATCGTTTTTATTATCATTATTATGTTATTATGTTATTATGTAATATATCTTCATTAATACATTATGTCTTACGGGATAGGAGAGTTATATGCATGGGGTATGGGTTCGAGTGGGCAACTAGGTACAGGAGAGGAAGAAGATGTAGAAGAACCTGTATTAGTTAGAGGAAAGCAACTGGAAGGAAAATCAGTGATACGTGTGGCAGGTGGAGGTCAACATACGTTAGTATTAGCGGTAACTTCAGTAAAAGAACAAAATGCTGGTTAATAAAATTAATGAAATAAAGTTATTAAATTTAAAATTTCATCATGTGATCAAAATTTGGACAACGAAAAAATCTATTTAATTTTAATTCTCCTTACCTAAAAATCATGATAAAGGAGAAAATGTAATTAAGAATATTTTTCATGGTATATTGTAATTTTGGCATTGGAACGAAATACATAAATCTGTATATAAGTTGTTATACCACCAAAAATTATACATCATTGTGCTTGTAATGTTTAATATATAAATAAAACCTTTTTCTACACGAGGGATGTTTTGTTTTTCATCATGTTAATTCAATAAACTTAATCTATGTTTATAATGTAAGTTGAAATAAAGTTAGATCATAACTGTGATAGTTTCACCATTTTTATATGTACTACCATCAACAATGCACAATATTATACGATTTTTAACTCAAATATATTCAATTACTAGTCTTTCATTTCAAACAAGGTGCAGTGCAAGATTTGTACATTTTACAGTTTTAAGTGATTCATTGAAAATGCTTGAAAATCATCGTTTTATTTAATACTATAGAGCTAAATACAGAACATTTTTTTTATATTTTCTTTTAATTTTATTAAACTGCAAAAACAATTTAAGACTCTAAGAATAATACTTCAATGTTACTATTGAAGTTGAATGCTTCTATCATGAATGAATTGCCTACCAAAAGGAAAGTATTAAATGCACAAAGGAAGGAATTATATTAACTATTTCCTTAATATGATGTTATTTTATTTCATTTATTTTTTTTACTCTGCAACTTTCCCTTTTAATAAACTGTCTTCTTGCATAGAAATCTGAGTGAGCTTTTTCCCAATACGTTCATGGACATCTAGATACTTAGCAATGCATCGATCAAGACATATAGATTCTCCTTTTGTCAATTCTGCCTCAATGTATTTTGGTGGAATACATTTTCGATGGCATGCTGATGTCATACGATTGTACATATCGGACATCATCTCTATTTCTAAATCTTGCACCAATTTTAGCTGATCCTTATCAAGTTGAGGAATATCAGCCATTTTTGAATTATTATTTTATAATTATTAAACTTCAAACAGATATTTTATTTTAGAAGATCTTCCGGATATATAAGTTGCTTCTTTTTCATGATCTCAGCTCTTCTCGCATTTATGTATTTCCTGGACAAGATAAAAGTATATATTCCTGTACCACCAGCTAGTAACCTATAAAAATACTTATATTTATATATGATCTATAATTAAAAATTTACGCTCGTACGAAATACATAAAAACACGGAAAGACAATACATATTAGTAAAAATACAAGAATCATTTGCTATTATTTAAATAAAAAGATTTATTTAAATAACCGCAAGAAACATAATCGATAAAAAGAAAAGTATTATAAATAAATGATTTAATTACACATACCTACCATCCGATTCCTGCTTTCCATAGGCTCATTCTTTTGTAATATAAATCGTGGAATACTTTTATGTTACAAGTTCAAGAGTCTTGTATAACTATACAATCACGCAACCATGTGCCAAGCGACAATCGAACATGTGACCTTGCAAGCTTGTACTCTCTTTCAGTTAACCCACTAGATAAGTGCACAGAATAAAACTCAAACAGAAAATTACTAAATACTTATCTAGGTCCATATTTCTTAAGTCGTCTTAAATTTTACGGTCAGATCTAATAATTATTCACTTCTTTAAAAATCGAATACAAATAACAGTGTATCATTTAATTTCCTTTACGAGATATAACATTGTTTGTTTAAATTTCAAACTCATGAATTTTCGGTTTTTTTTACGAAAAAAAGGAATTCTCTGCTTGTCACTGAAAGATGTTAATGAAGTTTTAATTAACAAATTGTTTATAAGTCTTTCATTCGGTGTTGTGTACACCTAGGGAACTTTACATTTCATAAGTTTACAGTATATGCATAGCTTAATCGTCACATGAGACAAGAAATCTACGTTTGTTGCGAAGGTAATTGTTACGTTACATTAATTATTAATTGTTTCACTTCCTGCAATTAATAGTATTAGTCTTATTGTACGGCACTGCACCAACGAGAAAAGAAAACTAAATATGTGATCCAAACGATTCTTCCTGTCAGATGACGATTTAAAAGTTTACACAAAAACGTATATAGATGAAAAATGTCAATGATTGAATGAAAAATATTTTTGTCGGACTATATACTGTCGGATGCAGTTATACTAAATATCTGTATAAAGTACGAATGAAACCATGTTAAAACAAAGTAATTTTTATACATGTAATATTGACATGACGTGGAAAACGTTTGTTCGAGAATCTGACGATATTCCTGAACCGCTTGAGAAAAGAGAACATCAATTGGCATTCGAAGGAAGTGAAGCAAGAAAAACTTACGAAGAAATTATAAATCAGGAAAGTAGCTCAATCTTGCCAATAGAGGACCATAAGAATAATAAACAGAAGAAGGTTTCTACTTGTAAGAATACAGCAATAAAGATGGTTATACCAAATGAAAAAGTCAAAAAGAATCAAAATCCAGAGGAAAAAGTGTCGATTAATGCTATATTGAAAGCAATAGAACAAAGAGACAGAAAATTCTTATTGAAACATATAACACAAGAAAATGTTAATTTAACAGATAATTTTGGTTGGACACCTCTAATGTCGGCTACTTATTGCGGTCATTTAGACATTGTAGAATTTCTGTTAAATCTGGGAGCTAGCAAAGAAGCAAGAGAAAAGTCTGGTCTTACCGCTGCACAGTTAGCATTAAAAAAGAATTATTTAAATATAGTTGCTTTATTAAAAAAGAAAACAGACACTAGAGGTAATAAAATCCCTTCAAAAATACATGCTATTAATGCAAGAACAAACACTGATGTTATATCACAGACAAGTTCAGAATTAATAGAGCCTTTAACAAATTGCAATGAAACTGCACTCAACATTAGAGATAATACAAAACGTCAGTCAGAGGAAGATACTGGGTTTTATTGTGAAATTTGTGAGATTAATTTTCATCAAACATCTTGGAAAAAGCATGAAACATCTACACTTCATATTTTTAATACAAAGCCGAAACTACCAAATGCTATGTATGGCATATCAAAACAAAGTAAAGGCTATCAGATGTTATTAAACACTGGATGGGATGAACAAGTTGGTCTTGGTCCTTTGGGTAAAGGAATAAAATATCCAATTAAAACATGTCTAAAAAATGATAGAAAAGGATTAGGTCAATCAAGTGAAAAAGAATACAGAGTGACACACTTTAAGGCAGGGGATGTTGCAGCTGTTAATGATACTAAAACTTGCAAACAAAAATGCTTGAAGAAGAAAGATAGGGAAAAATTATTAAATAGAGAAGTTAGGAAAGAAAGAGTATTGCGTATTGCTTTATCTTAAAATAAAATGTAGGACTTTTATAAATTAAAATTTAGTTCTGTTATAAAGACTGAATATGATGTAATTTTTATATTTGCTATCTCTTTAAATTGTGTAAGTGAATTATCTGTTTGAGTGTTTATATGCAAGAAGACCCTTGTATGGAAAGTGATGTTTAAATAATTAGTTGTTTTTGTTGCAGATGAAATTTGATCAACAGATGGCATTAAAGCATTTGCAACTGGTAGAAGAAAAAGCAGGTGAGATTCTAACAGATCGTCAAGAAATAGTCGCTTTGGACAAAAGAAGAAATGATGATAGAGTTGGGATGAGGGCACTGCAAAAGGAAAAACATAAAAAAGCTTGGGTGACAATTGGGCCATTATTGTTTAAAATGCCATCCAAAACTGCTGAGGAATTGCTCATTAAAGGTTATCAATTGTTTACTTCAATATATCCATGAAATAAATAATATTTTACTTCAATTTTATTGTATTATAGATCAAAAGGAATGTGACATTGAAATCAACAAGTTAAGAAGTGATTTAAAAATTAAAGTAAATGAATTACGAGACTTAGAACTTAATCCACCTGTTCCAGGCTTAATGTTAAAACCTATGTCTCACAAAGAAATGTCTGCAATAAAACAAATCTGGGGTCAAAACTCTTAAAACTATGTAAGTCCTTTGTTGATGTAAATACTCCTACCCAGAAGTAAAGTTTCTAAGCAAGATTTATAGCACAGTCATCTAAGACACACCTAACAAAATGTGTAAAATATAATGCTAAATATTATTATCATTATTATTTGTTTTGTAAATTCAACATAATGATACTTTGTTTTTATTTAATCACTGAGTTCCCAAAAGGTGTTGGTTTGCTTCAGTAATGTATGAATCATGTAGAAACATATATTCTAACTTTTTTGAAGGTATCAATTCTTGAACTTTAATTCTACTCTCATTTGGACAATATGTAAATTGATAAATACGTTTATCACATTCTTGAGAAACAACCGCTTTCATGTGTTCAAAAAATGCAGAACAAAAACTTGAACATGTTTCAAAACTCCAATGATTCTGTAATGTAAAAAGAACTATAGAATTCTAAACTATTTACTTAATTATAGTAAAAGAGATGCTACACTTCAATTACCTTGAATTTGATTTTTAATCTATCCAATGTGAATTTTTTTATTTTATATACAATACCAGTATAATTCCTGCAACCACATATAATCCTTTTTATACCAACTATATGACTTTGGAGCCACCATTTTAATATTCTGGTGGCTCTTTCATGTTTTATTTCACCACGGCGAGTAAATGCTGCAAAACTTAAAGTTTTTAATTCTATAAGTTCAACATTTTTTCCTACTAGTGTGTCCTTTATTTCATGCTCAGAGGAAATGCCATCAACTTCTGCACCATAAAGTAAAGTAGTATTACCAAATACAGCTTTAAAAACACAATAGAATTCTTCATTCTGGTTTAATGGTACAGATAAGTCTGGCATTCCAGAAGGTTTATCTAAAGAAAAGCACAATCATCAAGTATTAATTGTTTAATTAGAAATAATTGATTAAACCATATTTAGTGACAAATTTTTCATAACTTGTTACATAAACCTGTTAATAGATACTGCTCAAATTTGTACCCCCATGCAGTGCATTTATTTTGATAAGCACTTTGACTTGATGTTCTTTGTTTTTTTGCATCAGTATCAAAACTGCATAAATATATAGAACCTTTAAATTTTGCAGCGCATATAATCCACCCTTCTTCAGTATCATATGGCGTGCTAAGTAACGTTGTTAGTACACCTCGGTAACAAATAATTTCCGGTTCTAACCTAAGATATTAAAAAAACATCATACGAGCTTCTCAGCTACCTCAATTATTTTTTCGTAAATATAATTAATCTCAAAGATCTAACCATCTACCGTTTTCGTTATTCGAGTTTTGTAATTTTAGTTGATTGAAATTTTCAGACAACCATTGTAACATAAAATCAATTTTCATGTTCTCATCAGTTTTATATATCGTATGTTTATTGTCATCAAGATTAAAATAAACATTTTTCGGATCCTGAGGTTCCTTGTAATACTTTAATTTTGATAAATCATTGGAATAACTTTTGTCACCGTCAATACTGAAATTACCTACAATTTGTAATTCGGTAAATTGATTTACGGGTCCTTGTAAATCTTGAATTTGAAAAAACATTGTATACGAGTAATTTTTAAATGTTTCTCACACGTTTATGTTACAATATTTGTTACAAAATAACTGCGCGTTAGTTTATGATACCGCAAAACTGCGACGCCCCAGGACAAAGGGGGTCCCCTAACTAGGGATTTAGAAAGATGATTTTGAAGATGAAAACTGACCAATACCACCCACATTTCTTTCAGAACTCTTCTCTGGAACAACGCAAAGTAGGTATGCAGTAAATTACAATTTCGTTTCAAAGTTTCAAAGCAGTTATATTTTCTACTTGAATAAATTATCATTTGCTGCTAACATATTTACTCCTACCCTTGTTTAAAAATACATATCACTAATTAAGAAAAATATAAAATGAAATTTGTTATATCTATTGTGGGTATTTACACAAATTCATACATTCGTAAGGTAATTCATAAAAATAGGATTTAAATAAAAACATATTATAAAACCACACATCAAGAGGTAAAGAAAACAATACTGTTCGCGGTAGACGTTATTTATTATTTTCTCTATATATAGTTTTTCGTAGGGATCAACATGTTTGAAGAAACACAATGTTACGTACGCCATCTAGAATATGAAAATTTTCAATATACGCACATTGTAACAGTGAATACAGTGGAAATTGACATGCGTCAAATATAAAACTGATTCTATGGAAACTTCTTAATCATGAAAAAGTCCTGATCCTTAATGTCGCGCAATGACTGTTTACAATACTTCTGATTCGTTATCACTAAGAACATTATTGTAAAAAAGACAAGAGAAAGTTACAATATAACCTTTTACTAACACTATTTATAAAACTGTATGTTAAATAAATTGTAAAACATTATGGCACGAGAAATATTGACTATTCAAATTGGTCATTATTCTAATTTTATTGGAACCCATTGGTGGAATCTGCAGGTATTTAAATAGAAATTTATTTAAGTTAAATTTATTGAAATATATTATGTTAAATTGTGTGCTTTATATATTTTTATAGGAATCTAACTTTTCCTATGATCCTAATAATCCATCTGAAATAAATCACGATGTGTTGTACAGAGAAGGTGAAAATTTACAGGTATGAATATATATACATGATAAGATAATGTTTTTATAAATGAGATATTAAAATATGATAATTATATTACATACTTCTTAGAAACAAGTGACTTATACACCCAGACTATTACTTGTAGACCTGAAAGGAACGTTTGGATATTTAAAAGAAGAAGGCAGTCTGTACAATGTTCCAGAAGTAGAAGAAACAAAATGCTTATGGTACAATCAAAAAGTAGAAGTTAGCAAGGAAGAAACAGCTGTTAAAACACCATTCATTCAGAGCTTGGACGAACCCACTACAACTTCAGAATCGAAAAGTCTTACTTTAGATGATAATATCAAATCGTGGGTAGATTATTTATTGCCCAGATTTCATCATAGAACTGCAAATGTAATTAAGGGATATAAGCACAATTGTACAGATCAACCATTTGATATCTACACGTATGGAAGAAATTTATGGAGTACCAGACAGTTTTCAGACGATTTTACTGAGAGAATAAGAACATACGTAGAAGAGTGTGACCTAATGCAAGGTTTCCAGGCATGTGTTTAATAATATTTATTAAAGTTATTGGTACAGTATAATTTCTCAATATTTATAATATTTTAAAATATAGGTTATTCTAGATTCAGTCGATGGCTTTGGTGGACTTGGAGCATCATGTATAGAGCATTTACGGGATGAATATGGAAAGAGCATATTATCATTTCCATGTATGGACAGCAGGAGATCTGATCCTTCTAAATTTGATCTGATTAAATCAGTTAATACTGCACTATGCTGGCAACAAATAGGAGAACATTCTTCCTTGTACAGTCCACTGTGCTGTGGACAAACCGGCTGGCCTCAACCAGGGGAACCACGAACGTTTGACTATTTGTCATACGATTCTGGACTAAATTACCACAGTAGTGCACTACTGGCAACTGCTTTGGATGTCGCGACTATAAGATACAGACGCAAAGAATATCCAAATGTCGTTTTAGCAGACTTGTGTGCAGATCTTAATAAAATGGGTCGCAAAGCGATAGCAACGAGTTTAACGTTGCCATTTCCAATGACTGCGAAAACGGACTTGATCGATGTGCTGGATGATTTCACAGGAACGCTATGGACAAGCTTGACGCCAAATTGTGAGATATCTATGGACAAAAATATGCAGAGCATCGCGTTAAGGGGAATTCCCGAAGAAAGGTTGAAACAGCCCATGGCGAACGCGATGAAACAGATGTCAAAGCCAGCCTATAGATGTTCAACCGTACACGAGATGATGACGCTGTATTTAGCTTGTACTTCGCACGCATCGGCGACCTATCTTTCGACTATTTCGTCGCCGTTGAAGATAAAAGATCCGTACCCGAAAATATTTAATAAGAACGTCACCGCGACAGGAGATATCATCGATTGGCCTCTAGGAAACGGTACGTCAACGTATTTACAATTACTCGAGTTCCTTGAGCGATCTCGGTGTCACTTTCAATTACTCTTGATTCACAGAAGTCACGTCCGTTCCTGTTATGGCCGGCTTTCACAGTGGAAACAGTCTCCGAGCGATGTACAAATCTTTACACGGTCAGTTGAGCAAAATGAGAAGCATAAGAAAATGTCACGCATTCGCGAGCTCTGGTTTAGAAGAGGACGAATTCAAGGAATGCCTCAACTATCTGCTCGATTGCAAAGAAAGTTACGAAGACCATTATATTTAAGCGACGTTGACTGGATCAATTGCTAAATGATCACAGTACTTTCGTACAATATATTGTTTCTTATCAGAAACGCGTCTTTCAATCTCTTCTTGTACTCCACATTTCCGGTAACTGACGATATTAAACAATCGAAATTTCCTCGCGAACTCGTAACGAAAACATCGGTGATGGGTGTGGCACGACACACCCTGGTCGCATTAGATTTCCCAGGGAGGGTGCGAACACTCGGTTCGGTTTTCACACGTAATCGAAACACGGCCGAATTCGGTTCGATCCGCGTATTCTTCGCTTGCGAGTGCTTTCTACCGATTGCGAAATGGGAAACAAGGTGGCCACGTTCACGGAGGAACAGCTGGAGGATTACCAAGATTGTACGTTTTTCACGCGCAAAGAAATTTTAAGGTACATTCGACGCGAATCTTCCTCGTTCTCGTTTTCCCGTGCGCAGACGAACGATCCTTTTTTCAGAATATTTAAACGATTCCGCGAGATGGGCGACCCCGGAGTAGTACCACGGACCATGACGTCTCAACAGGCATCCAGCTTTCGTATACCGCTCTCGTGTTTGACGCGTATACCGGAGTTAAAGGTTCCATCCGATTGATACAAAACTATCGGTCGAAGTGACCGGCTTGTAAACCTTACCCTTTGAAACTCGTAAAAGTGCATTTTCCCGGACGTTACGTGTCTCTACATGGTACGAGTCAACTGTTCCCGTTCTATTCCTGTGAAGACACTTCGTGTCATTCGTAATAATCGTGGGGAACTATTAACCCTTTGCACTCGAAGGTTTTTCACTAGAAATATTCAACATTCTTTGGTAAACTATAGACTATGCTTGTTGCGACTAATGCAAATAATTTAATCTACTATTAACCCTTTGCACCCGAAGGTTTTCCACTAGAAATATTCAACATTCTTTGGTAAACTATAGACTATGCTTGTTGCGACTAATGCAAATAATTTAATCTACTATTAACCCTTTGCACCCGAAGGTTTTCCACTAGAAATATTCAACACTGATAAAATATAGACGCTGCTTGTTGGGACTAATGCAAATAATTTAATCGATAAATCAAAGGACAAAACTATTTTACTTCGACATTTCACACAGTGACGCATACAAAGTTTAGTGTTAAACATCAAGCTTTATAATTTTACTGTATCAAACCAAGCGGTGAGAGTCACCAGCCGAGTGCAAAGGGTTAAAAACGCAACGCGTGTGGTTACACGGTAGTTCTTAACAAACAATTGAGAATTCTGTTTCCTAGAGAAAGAAAGTCCAAAGAAACCGGTCCGCTTCTTTTATCTCCAATACGTTCTTCGCGTACGAGAGCCGTAGAAATAAAACGGGGCGAAGTCACTTAGGATGCTTTAGCGACAGCAGCCCGAGGGGATGCATCGAGCACAGGACTGCGTAGGGCCTGTGGATGGCGTCACGCGGCCCTGGCGTGAACGCAGAAACTTTAGAGTTTATATCATTTATGCGTGCATGTCCGATGAAATTGCACTTTTACGATCCCACCGTCTCTCAAGACTTCGAAGTCGGCGATTTGAGCCGGATAGTTCGCAGCGTGTCCTATCAGCCGTCAAGGCGAAGTTTCGGCGTGCGAACGAGAGAGTGTCCCGGTAACGAGAAATCGGTGCGTTTCAGGAAAATCCGTTCAGCGAGCGGATATCGGAGGTGTTCACGGGACGTCAGAATACGGGACAATCGCCGGCTGCCGACGCCGGAGGAATCTGCTTCGAGGAGTTCCTCGAGATGATGTCGGTTTTTTCGGAGCAGGCGCCGCGGGACTTGAAGGTCTTTTACGCCTTTAAGATTTACGGTACGGACCCACCGCGTGAACCGGACAGTCGGACGAATCGTGAGAGAGCTTCGAGATCGACCTCGTTGCGCCTGTAGCTGTTCGTTTTACGGGACGAGGAGCGTACATATTTATATCCGTGCGCGCGTGCACGCCTCCGCGTGTTCGTGTGCACACACGTATACCGATTGTCAGCACGAAGCGACTATCGATTTCACCGGGAACACGATGTATCCGCGATTCTTTGCGCTATTCATTCAATCGATCGAGCCCGTCGTATTTCTAATCGGGTTTCAACCTTTCCATCGTCGCGCTGAGACGTTCATTTCATCTCTGAAAGTCTAAACGCGACCGTGTTCTCCGTTCGGCCGCTTCAGGCATCTCAGGCGTTCTACGGGTACGTTGCCTGGACAGATAACAGATTTTCAAGAATCATGCAGCATGTTCTACGAGAAGAAAGCGAGAGAAGCAATCGCGTCGAATGCTGGTGTTTAACCACTTGCGCTGGAAATTAATTCAGAAATTTTGTCTTCTGCGATGAATTTTTTTACCTATTTCACGCTGATATGTACACTTACTCTGTTAACACGTTGAATGCCATGGGGTCACCGGTGACCCCCAAGTAAATCGAATTACTATAATTCACTCAATTAAACGACCATTATTCGCACACATTTCTATATTGTAATGCTACCCATTGCGGTGACATTCAGTTTGATGAACGTGCAATGATAACAATGCAATTCAATCGAATGATTTAATATTCTACTTTTTCCATTTCAAGTATTCTGCACCATGAAATCGTGCGGCATTCAACGTGTTAACGCGAGTACGTTCCCGTTGTACTCTTATAAACACGGAACAGGAATTAAATGATTCTTTAGCGATATCTTCGGGAAACTTGATAATAATCAAAATGGCAATGATAATAATCCAATTCAAATGATTTAATGTTGTATTTTTCCCATTTTGTGTATTTTGCTCTATGAAATCGTGCGGCGTTCAACGTGTTAATCATTCTGTATAGTAATACATTTCGAAGTAATCTAATAGGAGTAGTGCAACAGATTATCGATGTATGGAAGACATCATTGAGAATTTTCGGATAGAAACGTCCCGACGTGGCACGTCTTTCCAGCGCAAGTGGTTGATTAGTGGTATTTCGATCGAATGTCGTCCACTGGAACAATCTGCGATTCACGAGCCAAGAAGTTTCTTTTTCCACGAAACAGATTTCGACGAGGATGGGGTATTAGGCCTGAGCGATTTGGAACACACGTGCCGACAGTTGGTCCAAGGCGGTTTGAACGCCGACGAAGTGGCCACCGTGTGCAAGAAAGTCCTCGAGGAAAGTGACATCGACGGAGACGGCGTTCTGTCGTACTTGGAGTTCGAACACGTCGTTACGAGAGCGTCGGACTTCATGGCGACTTTTCATATAAGAATTTAACTCTGCTCGTTAGTGGCTGAAAAGAATCAATAAAACGGCTGCACAAAGTAAAGGTGAAATCCGTTTATTTCGAACGCGTGCGTTCGCTCAACCGATTCAATGATTCTGTTCACTTCGTAACTTGTACCGATTGTAAAGCACGTACACCGACTTTGTCAAATTTCTGTAGAAAGATAATCTCTACGATAGTAGGTTTACGGAGTGCGTCGATTTGACGCATACTGAATTTATCAACATTACTTGGCAAACGTTTATGTCGATTTTGGTCGACGCAGTTACAAGAATGCGTATCGTAATAACCTAATTTTAAATCCCTAACTTCCAAGATCTAAATGGTCGAACATCAACTTTTCTAGGAACAATAGAATAACCCGGACAATAAACGTCCGTAAACCTAAGATTTCAGTTCAGGTATCGTTGAATCATCTTTAATCATTCTTCAACGAAGCGTCCGCAGCTTTTCGGTAATCGTAAAAGAGAAGACCAGGAACGGATCGATTTCGGCCCACCTGGTTCTAGCGTTAACGTCGAACAGTGTTTCCGGTTACGGGTGGCCGATAACAGTGGCGTCGACAGGTAACGTTTGATCGATGAATTTCGAAAGGATTCGTACGGATCCCGCGAGTCGAGTCGATCGTGAAGAACGATCCGCGGAGCGTCCGGGCTCACGGTACAAGTGTTGCGGATAAAGAGTTTCGCAAACTCACGAAGGATAATTATTAGCTCCGCGGATCCGCGAGGCTAGCGGAGCGCTATCGCGTCGCTTCTTGCCGGTCGCAGATGTACTTACTTTCTTGCCTCGTAAGTTGCCCCTGTTGAGCAATGAGGAGCAACGCTGGCTAAATAACCAGACCATTCGTTTTCGCTCCGGACAGGAGGAGCCTCCCGCGCCCCGCTCGGTCGCTCGGGGGAATCTCCAATAAGGCTCCGTCACTTTTACAAAGACGTATAAATCAATTGCGGATGCTGCCGCGAGAAGAATGGGGGTGAGAGAAATCGGAGGATTCCCGAAAGAAGGTCCTCGCCTCGAGATTTCGGCGATAGCCGGTCCGATGAGTCCCGATAGGAGTGAGCGAAACTCGTCGGGCTTCCTTGAAAAGCGGTGTCTTTTATGTTCTTTTCTTCTGTAAACCGCGAACGGTGTAACTGATCAAATATTTTCGCGCGATGGTGTATGTGTATACTCGCGTTAGCGAGTCATCGTATTCAAGCGAAACGCGTTGCCGATGACCGGACGGTTCGGCCGAGCAACGGCTACGGAACCTCGAACTTCCACCAGCGACGGACGATCTAGTAGTCTGTCGGTCGCGGAGGGGAAACAGGGTAGCCGAGAGAAGCAAGTGCTGTTCCGGAACAGCGCGTCGATTGCTCGTCGCTTCCATGGCATTAGAATTTACCCCCGAATCCTACGGGGCTGCTCGTTCGTGAAAAATACCATGTAATGCGAATTTCGTGGCAGGGTGGAACGAGGCGAGACCTATCGCGAGGTGGATCGGATTGGAAACGTCCGGTCCACGTTTGTCACGTAAATTATATTTTCCCTCTTCTGATTCTTATCTGCGAAAGGAGATTTTTGCACTCGAGAGGCGACTCTGAGTCACCATACGATTTGACACTGCAAAATTATAAAGTGAATATTTAGTATTTTAAACGAAGCTTTCTATCGCAATGTGAAATATTGAGAAATAGCTTTGCTTAATTTGTCTGTGAATTATCGTAGAATTAGTTTCAAACGATGTCGACTATATCTCGTTGGAAACTTGAATATTTCCAGGCGAAAACTTTCGAGTACAAGGGTTAAAGGTTCTTCGTTTCGTATCGATGTTCAAGCGTGTCAATTTATTTCCTCGGTCTATCCTGCTTCGAATTCGCGAGAGACTAAAGCTTGGGGTAGGTGTTCCATGAATTTTCCGAATCTCTATACGCATGATAGCGGAAGTTCACCGCGAAATGGTAGGCGGAGGAACGCGTATTCGTGGGCCGGTTCCCTCCGATCTTTTCGAAGCGGTGTTGCACGGCCCTGTCGGGCTCCGGACGATTCGGCGCTGCGATGGTAACACGGTGTCGTGGTCCGGTCGTCTTAAAAAGCGGACGAAATCGGAGATACCGCCCTGTGTTACGGAGCCTCGACCAGTTATAGTCGGCCGCGCGGTAACTAACCGAGTCTTGGGACCAAGGCCATCCGGTCACTTCTCATCCCTCTCTCTTCCCCGCTCGCATCCCTACCGTTCCTGTTGCCCGGTCCGTCCGGAGGCCCTCCGGGTCCGAGGAAGCCCCCTTACCTCCTGGGTCCACCGTCGACACCCTCTGCACCCCCCTTGGCTCTCGCCGCCACTCCGGGCCCGTACGAAGCACCGAGGATCGTCGCTCCCGAGACTCTCTCCCCCTTAGCGATCTCGGCTAACCAACCAACCACCTTCCATGTCGAGGTATTCGTACATTCTTGGGCCCCGCCGACCCGACGCGTCGCGACGAGCCGAGCCGGGCCGGGCCGGGACGGGACGGGACGCGACACGATGCGTCGTGAATCGGCTCGTCCCGACGTGTTGCGCGCGCGATGGGGACCGAACCGAGCGAGAACCCTCCATGACTCGATCCCGGGGGAGGAAGGAAGGGATCTCGCTGGAAGCGAGACGAGAAGTCAGGGAGAAGAGGAATGAGAAGGCAGAGATCGCGGGTGGCGGCGGCCAGATGGAACGAGAGAAGGAAGACGATGAAGAAGACGAAGGAGAAGCCGCGAGAGCTCTCGCGAAAGAGGGGAGGATGATAGCGGAGGCGGCGGTTGGCGGAGGGCAGATTTGAACCTAACTTTTACGGCACCCTACGTGGGCGAGTTTTCTCGTGCGCGCACGCCGCAGATCTCTAGAACGTTCTCCGGGCCCTCGACCCCGTGATCGCGCAGCGACATCATTGACTCCGAAGCATTTCAATGGCTCGCCGTGCCCGATCGAAACGTTCGGGAAAACCGGATGAGTTATCGCCGCTTCGTGTGCCGGCCACCGGCAGAAAGCGGAGAAACTATTCGGAACCGGCGGGAGAGGATCTTGAGGCCGGCCGAAACCGGATGCGAGTCGCCCATGTTTCTTCCCAACAAATCGACCGAGGCGACGTTCGCCGAGTATTCGGATTGATCGCGGAACATCGGAGAGATTGAACGTCAGCGGCAACCGAGTCGCGAAGCGGGTTCGAGAAAATGCCTCGGGGACGATCTCGCGACTTTTAAATCCTTTGGACTCGCGGGAACCGATTTCGAGCGTTACTCGTATCTCGAGTCGAGGATAAAATTGTCAAGTTCGAGCGTTCTCTTTGTTACGACGTAAGACGATCGTCCGCGACTCGCACCGACGCGGAGAGTAGTACGCGGCATTAGGCGTTAACCTTAGGCTCGGCATTGAAGCTCCTGGTAGCGAAGGTCCACCATGAAAAGCAGATATATGTATACCTGCGCGTTGCTCTCTGACAAGGTTGCGTCGACCACTGTCTAGTCGAAATAATATTGGCGGTCTTGTGGGCACATATCGCGTAGTGGTTCATAAGGAGGCGAGAGCTTGTATATAGAGAGAACCGTCTACCAAAGAGGGGGAGGAAGGGTTCCAAGGAGCCGGTTGGCCAACGGAATGTGGCTTGACCGGCCGGCCATCCCCCGCCTCCTCTACCATGAATCCATCGAGAACGAGAGAGAGAAAGAAGGGGAGCCAGATAGAGGACTGGCCCAACTACCTCTGGATCCTAATGGGGCCCCATTGGGGTGCTCGAATATTCTTTCGCTATCTCCGGGCATCTTCGCCGTGAGATTTGTAATCCGGGAGAACGCCGTTTTTTTGACGTTCTCTTTCCTCCCCCTCCTGCCGGCCGTCCTCTCCGGTGCCTCCTCGTCCACCGATTCGTCCCACCTCTTCCCGTTCCCCTCCGACAGCGCCTCTGCAGTTCCTCGATTTTCGACTCGTCCCGCGTTGTCGACGAAGCCGAACGCCGGGCCCGAACGGGTCAATATAGTTTTATTGGCTAAACTTGGAAAACGAAGCGTGATCTATCGCTGGTAAAACGACCGCGATGCATACGTTCCGGCGTGCGATTAGGTAGGCAGATAGGAGCACCGCGTATTATTGCGAGTCTATCTTGATCTGTCGCAACCGTTGAAGGTAATTGCAACTTCGCCGGCACGATTATCTCTCTGTGTATGGGCAAGAAGGCAATAAAAATGGCAGCGAACTATGCGGCTGTCCATTGACCATGCCGAGAAGACAGTCCGAGGATACGGGGGCCGAGACAGGACGAAATCGACGAGCGTACAAGGTGCTCCCGTATTCGAGAAGAAAAAAAAATCGACGATTCGCATCAACGACTCTCGCTGATTTTCCGCGAACGATTTCGTACCCGGTGAATCGTACGCGGGACTGTCCGAGACGCTTTCGCAATTCGTGTAATTGTATTCTCCTAGAATCACCGGCCGCACGCGCCCCCACCGCCGCCGCCGCCGCCGCCGCCGCCGCCGCCGCCGCCGCCGCCGCCGCCGCGACGATATTCCAGAAATTACGTCAGATCGCAGTCACCGGCTCCGCCGAGTCAATGTTGCATTTTATTCGAACGCTTGAAACGGCGAACCGGTCCGAATGGAAGTTTGTTACTCGAAGAAGTTTCGCAAAGCGGCCGGTAGATCAGCTTTCCGCTCGAGTACCACCTAAATTTATTCCACGGACGTTCCGTGCATTCGAAGGCCCCGCGCGTATCGTCCGCGGAATATCAGCCGATTTTCACGTTTTCGGCGAATAAATCTGGTTTCTATCGGCTCGGAGCGGTCGAGCCGGTAAACGCGGAGCAACGGAAACCTGGAACAACCGGGGGAGATGCGAGCTCGTCCGGTTGCGGACCCGCGCGAATCGCATTCCGTGTCCATTTCGACGGACCCTCTCTCTCCCCGCTAATCGTTTCGAACGTTCGTCAAATGTTGCGGACGAGGAGCGCGCGCGATTCCTCGGTTCGCTCTGAATTTCAAGCGG